GGGTGTGAGAGTACAGCTGTGAGGTACACCTAGATGTGAGGTACAGGGTGAGGTACGTGATGTGATGTGTACAGAGGTGTGAGGTACAGGATGTGAGGAGGTACGTTGTGAGGTACAGGGAAGTACTGTGAGGTACAGGATGTAGGGCACAGGGTGTGAGATACAGAGATGTGAGGAGGTACTGAGTGTGAGGTACAGGATGTGAGGTACAGGGGTGTGAGGTACAGGGATGTGAGGTACTTGGTGAGGTACAGGATGTGAGGTACAGGATGTAGAGGTACAGGGTGTGAGTACAGGGGTGTGATGTGAAGTACAGGATGTTAGGTACAGGCTGTGAGGTACAGGTTGTGAGGTACAGGAGTGTGAGGTACAGGATGTGAGGTACAGTGTGTGAGAGTACAGGATGTGTGAGGTACAGGGGTGTGAGGTACAGGATGTGAGGTACAGGGTGTGAGTTACATGCAGGATGTGAGGTACAGGGTGTGAGGTACAGGATGTGAGAGTACAGGGTGAGGTACAGGGATGTGAGGTACAGGATGTGAGGTACAGGATGTGAGTACAGGGTGAGGTACAGGTGTGAGTACAGGATGTGAGGTACAGCGTGTGAGTACAGGGTGATGTACAGGTAGTAGGAGATGTGAGGTACAGAGCGTGAGAGTACAGGAGTGTGAGGTACAGGACGTGAGAGTACAGGATGTGAGGTACAGGATGTGAGAGTACAGGATGAGGGGTGTGAGAGTACAGGGTGTGAGAGGCAGGGGATGTGAGGTACGACATGTGAGTGCAGGTTGTGAGGTACTGGGTGTGAGGTACTGTGTGTGAGGTAGTGTGTGAGTGTGTGAGTACAGGATGTGAGAGTACAGGATGTGAGGTACAGGGTGTGTGTAGTGGATGTGAGAGGTACAGCATGTGAGGTACTGGAGTGTGTGAGGTACTGGGTGTGAGGAGGATGTGAGGTACAGGACTGAGGTGTGATGTGAGGTACTGGGTGTGAGAGTAACACAGCATGTGAGATACAGGGTGTGAGGTACAGGATGTGAGGTACATTATGTGAGGTACAGGGTGTGAGAGAGTACAGGATGTGAGGTCCCTGGGTGTGAAAGCCACTGGGTGTGAGTACAGGAACGTGAGGTACGACATGTGAGGTTCGGGGTGTGAGTTATCGGATGTGAGGTACGGGGTGTGAGGTACTGGGTGTGAGTTACGGGTTGTGAGGGAAGGTGTGTCAGGTACAGTGTGTGAGGTACGCGTGTGAGGTGTAGAAATTGCGCTTTTTAACGTACGGGATTGAACTTGAGATGTGAAATGTGAGATGTGTAACCTAAGATGCTAAACGTGATAGGTTTGATATGAGATTTGTGAAGTGAGATGTGATAAGTAAAATGTGTGACGTGAGGTGTGTGACGTGATATGTGTGACGTGAGATGTGTTATGTAGGACATGTGAAATGAGATGTGTTGTGTGAGGTGTGTAACGTGAGATGTGTGTCTTGGGTGTGTGGCGTGAGATGTGTGACGGAAGGCTTGTAACATGAGATGTGACAAAATGAAAATGTGTGACATAAGATTAGTGACGTGAAATGTGTGATGTAAGATGTATGATGTGAGATGTGATATGTGTGATGTGAGATGTGTGATGTATGATGTGAGATGTGTGACGAGAAATGTGTGATGTGAGATGTGTAGCGTGAGAGGTAAGGTTTGTGACGTGTGGCGTCACATGCGTGGCCTGAGGTGTGTGACGTGACATGTTTGACGTGAGCTTTTTGAGGTCAGATATGTGGCGTGAGGTGTTTGATATGAGATGTATGCTGTAAGACGTGTGTCGTGAGCTGTATGACGTGAGATATGTAATATCAGATGTGTGACGTGAGGTGTGTGAAGTGATGGGTGTGGCGTAGGTTCTGGGACGCGAAATGTGTGATGTAAGATGTAAGACGTGAGATGTGTGTCGTGAGATGTGTAATGTGAGATGTGTCATGTGATATGTGTCATGTGAAGTGTATGATGTGAGATGTGTGACGTGAGGTGTATGATGTGAGATGTGTGACGTGAGGTGTATGATGTGATATGTGTGACGTGATGTATGTGACGTGAGATGTGTGACGTGAGGTGTGTGATGTAAGATGTGTGACGTGAGGTGTGTGACGTGAGGTGTTTGACGTTTGGTGTGTGACGAGAGATGTGTGACGTGAGGTGTGTGACGAGAGATGTGTGACGTAGAGGTGTATGATGTAAGATGTGTGACGTGAGGTGCGTAATGTGAGGTGTATGACGTGAGGTGTGTGACGTGTGGTGTGTGACGAGAGATGTGTGACGTGAGGTGTATGATGTAAGATGTGTGGACGTGAGGTTTGTAATGTGAGGTGCATGATGTGAGATGTGTGACGTGAGGTGTATGATGTGAGATGTGAGACGTTTGGTGTGTGAAGAGAGATTTGTGACGAGAGGTGTGTGACGAGAGATGTGTGACGTGAGGTGTATTGTGTAAGATGTGTGGACGTGAGGTGTGTTATGTGAGGTGTATGATGTGAGATGTGTGACTTGAGGTGTGTGATGTGAGATGTGTGAGATATGTGAGATGTGAGATGTGTGACGTGAGGTGTTTGGTGTGATATGTTTGACGTGAGGTGTATGATGTGAGATGTGTGACGTGAGGTGTATGATGTGAGATGTGTGACGTGATGTGAGATGTGTGAGATATGTGAGGTGAGGTGTATGATGTGAAATGTGTGACGTGAGGTGTGTGATGTGAGATGTGTGACGTGATGTGAGATGTGTGAAGAGATGTGTGACGTGATGTGAGATGTGTGAGATATGTGACGTTAGGTGTGTGATGTAGAGATGTGTGACGTGATGTGAGATGTGAGATGTGCTTGTGTAGAGATATGTGACGTGTATAGAGTGTATGAAGTGTAGAGATGTAAGACGTAGAGGTGTATGATGTGATGAGATGTGTAGAGACGTGTAATGTGATGTGTGTGTGAGATGTGTGACGTGATGATGTGAGATGTGTGACGTGATGTATGGTGTAGAAATGTGACATTAGAATTGACAGAGGTGTGTGATGTAGATGATGTGTGACGTGATAGAGATGTGTGAGATGTGTGACGTAGAGTGTATGATGTGAGATGTGTGACGTAGATGAGAGTGTGTGATGTAGAGATGTGTGACGTTATGTAGAGATGTGTGACATTATGAGAGATGTATGGTGTAGAAATGTGTGACGTAGAGGTGTGTGATGTGAGAGATGTGTGACGTTATGTGAGATGTGTGTGTGAGGTGCGTAGAGATGTGTGAGAAATGTGTATGATGTGATGTGAGATGTGTGTGACGTACGAGGTGTGTGATGTGAGATATGTGAGTGAGGTGTGTGACGTAGAGATGTGTAACCTGAGGTGTGTGATGTGAGATGTGAGAGATGAATGGTGTGAAATGTATTACGTGAGGTGATTGACCTGCAGCAGAGGTGCGTGACTTGGGGTGTGTAACCTGAGGTGTGTGACGTGAGATGTGTGATGTGAGATGTATGACGTGAGGTGTGTGACGTGAGATGTGTGATGTGAGATGTGTGACGTGAGGTGTGTGAGGTGAGATGTGTAACCTGAGGTGTGTGATGTGAGATGTGTGATGTGATATGTGTGACGTGAGGCGTGTGATGTGAGATGTGTGATGTGAGATGTGTGACATGAGGTGTATGATGTGAGATGTGTAACCTAGGAGGTGTGTGATGTGAGATGTGTGATGTGATATGTGTGACGTGAAGCGTGTGATGTGAGATTTGTGACGTGAGGTGTGTGATGTGAGATGGGTGACTTGAGGTGTGTGATGTGAGATGTGTGAGATATGTGAGATGTGAGATATGTGTGACGTGAGGTGTTTGATGTGAGATGTGTGACGTGAGGTGTGTGATGTGAGATTTGTAACGTGAGGTGTATGATGTGAGATGGGTGATGTGAGATGTGTGACGTGAGGTGTGTGATGTGATATTTGTAACGTTAGGTGTTTGATGTGAGATGTGTGACGTTAGGTGTATGATGTGAGATGTGTGACGTGAGGTGTGTGATGTGAGATGTGTGAGATGTCTGACGTGAGGTGTGTGATGAAGGTGTGTGAGATATAAGGTGTGTCACGTGAAGTGTGTGACGAGAGATGTGTCACGTGACGTGTGTGACGAGAGATTTGTGATGTGAGATATATGACGTGAGGTGTGTGACGTGAGGTGTGTGATGTGATATTTGTAACTTGAGGTGTATGATGTGAGATGGGTGACATGAGATATGTGATGGGAGAAGTGTGGCGTGAGGTGTTTGATGTGAGATGTGTGACGTTAGGTGTATGATGTGAGATGTGTGACGTGAGGTGTATGATGTGAGATATGTGAGATGTCTGACGTGAGGTGTGTGATGAAGGTGTGTGAGATATGAGGTGTGTCACGTGAAGTGTGACGAGAGATGTGTCACGTGACGTGTGTGACGAGAGATTTGTGATGTGAGATGTGTGACGTGAGATGTTTGACGAGAGGTGTGTGGTGTCAGATGTGTGATGTGAGATGTGGGGGGAATGGTGTTGTAAACAAGAGCTACTGAATCATGTTGCAGTGCGCCTAATGTGAGTAATGAGGTACGGGAAGTGAGATGCTGGACATATGGAGCGTCATTTACGGAACGTGAGGTACGGGCGTGAGTTACGGGGCGTGAGTTACGGGGCGTAAGGTACGGGGCGTGAGGTACGGGACGTAAGGTACGGACCAAGATGCTCAGTGCATGAGTTCACGAACGGTTAAACAGTTCGGGACGTGAGAAACACGGATCTGGGTTACATGATATATTGCGGTGGTTAAAACAATCGCTCGTCACGCCCAACATGTTCGTTTCCCCAAAGGGTGAACGTGTCACGTCAACATCAGCTGTCCCCAGCTGGCACACAACCAATGTCACATATTCAGTCACTTTTCAACTCCACCCCAAACCACTGACTCACTTGATGGTTCTGCTTCAGCTTCCGACTTCGTTGGCAGTGCTTGTACAAGTGATGGCGACTGCAGTCTTGAACACACCTATTGCAATGATGGAGCTTGCAACTGTCAAGCCGGCATCATGTTCTCAGTAGGGAGGAGTGCGTGTGTCACAGGTAATATTACAAATACACGTCAACAGGAAAGAGAGTGCGTGTGTCACAGGTAATGTTACAAATACACGTCAACAGGAAGGAGTGCGTGTGTCACAGGTAACGTTACAAATACACGTCAACAGGAAGGAGTGCGTGTGTTACAGGTAATAGTGCAAATACATGTCAACAGGAAGGAGAGAGTGTGTGTCACAGGTAATATTACAAATACACGTCACCAGGAAGGAGAGCGTGTGTCACAGGTAACGTTACAAATACAGGTCAACAGGAAGGAGAGCGTGTGTCACAGGTAATGTTACAAATACACGTCAACAGGAAGGAGAGTGTGTGTCACAGGTAATATTACAAATACACGTCAACAGGAAGGAGGGAGTGTGTCACAGGTAATATTACAAATACACGTCAAAGGAAGGAGTGTGTCACAGGTAATGTTACAAATACAGGTCAACGGAAGGAGTGCGTGTGCCACAGGTAATGCGTTACAAATACAAGTCAACAGGAAGGAGGCGTGTGTCACAGGTAATGTTACAAATACAGATCAACAGGAAGGAGAGGCGTGTCACAGGTAATGTTACAGATACACGTCAACAGGAAGGAGCGTGTGTCACAGGTAATGTTACAAATACACGTCAACATGAAGGAGAGGGTGTCACAGGTAAGGTAATGTACAAATACAGGTCAACAGGAAGGAGAGCGTGTGTCACAGGTAATGTTACAGATACACGTCAACAGGAAGGAGAGTGTGTGTCACAGGTAATATTACAAATACACGTCAACAGGAAGGAGAGAGTGTGTCACAGGTAATGTTACAAATACACGTCAACATGAAGGAGTGCGTGTGTCACAGGTAATATTACAAATACAGGTCAACAGGAAGGAGTGCGTGTGCAACAGGTAATATTACAAATACACGTCAACAGGAAGAGTGCGTGTGTCACAGGTAATGTTACAAATACGTCACCAGGAAGGAGTGCGTGTGTCCCCAGGTAATGTTACAAATACGTCAACAGGGAAGGAGAGGCGTGTGTCACAGGTAATGTTACAGATACACGTCAGCAGGAAGAAGAGTGTGTGTCACAGGTAATGTTACAAATACAGGTCAACAGAAGGAAGGAGGCGTGTGTCACGGTAATGTTAAAATACACGTCAAAGGAAGGAGGCGTGTGTCACAGGTAATGTTACAAATACACGTCAACATGAAGGAGAAAGTGTGTCACAGATAATGTTACAGATACACGTCAACAGGAAGGAGAGTGTGTGTCACAGGTAATGTTACAAATACACGTCAACAGGAAGGAGAGCGTGTGTCACAGGTAATGTTACAAATACACGTCAACAGGAAGGAGAGTGTGTGTCACAGGTAATGTTACAAATACAGGTCAACAGGAAGGAGAGTGTGTGTCACAGGTAATGTTACAAATACAGGTCAGCAGGAAGGAGAGTGTGTGTCACAGGTAATGTTACAAATACAGGTCAACAGGAAGGAGTGCGTGTGCCACAGGTAATATTACAAATACACGTCAACAGGAAGGAGAGTGTGTGTCACAGGTAATGTTACAAATACACGTCAACAGGAAGGAGAGTGTGTCACAGGTAATGTTACAAATACACGTCAACAGGAAGGAGAGCGTGTGTCACAGGTAATGTTACAAATACACGTCAACAGGAAGGAGAAAGTGTGTCACAGGTAATGTTACAAATACACGTCAGCAGGAAGGAGAGTGTGTGTCACAGGTAATATTACAAATACAGGTCAACAGGAAGGAGTGCGTGTGCCACAGGTAATATTACAAATACACGTCAACAGGAAGGAGTGCGTGTGTCACAGGTAATGTTACAAATACACGTCAACAGGAAGGAGAGTGTGTGTCACAGGTAATGTTACAAATACACGTCAACAGGAAGGAGAGCGTGTGTCACAGGTAATGTTACAAATACACGTCAACAGGAAGGAGAGAGTGTGTCACAGGTAATGTTACAGATACAGGTCAACAGGAAGGAGAGTGTGTGTCACAGGTAATGTTACAAATACAGGTCAGCAGGAAGGAGAGTGTGTGTCACAGGTAATGTTACAAATACACGTCAACAGGAAGGAGTGCGTGTGCCACAGGTAATATTACAAATACACGTCAACAGGAAGGAGTGCGTGTGTCACAGGTAATGTTACAAATACACGTCAACAGGAAGGAGTGCGTGTGTCCCAGGTAATGTTACAAATACACGTCAAAAGGAAGGAGAGCGTGTGTCACAGGTAATGTTACAAATACACGTCAACATGAAGGAGAAAGTGTGTCACAGGTAATGTTACAGATACAGGTGAACAGGAAGGAGAGTGTGTATCACAGGTAATGTTACAAATTCATGTCAACAGGAAGGAGAGCGTGTGTCACAGGTAATGTTACAAATACACGTCAACAGGAAGGAGAGCGTGTGTCACAGGTAATGTTACAAATACACGTCAACATGAAGGAGAAAGTGTGTCACAGGTAATGTTACAGATACAGGTCAACAGGAAGGAGAAAGTGTGTCACAGGTAATGTTACAAATACACGTCACCAGGAAGGAGAGCGTGTGTCACAGGTAATGTTACAGATACAGGTCAACAGGAAGGAGAGTGTGTATCACAGGTAATGTTACAAATACACGTCAATAGGAAGGAGAGCGTGTCACAGGTAATGTTACAAATACACGTCAACAGGAAGGAGTTAGTGTGTCACAGGTAATATTACAAATACAAGTCAACAGGAAGGAGAGTGTGTTTCACAGGTAATGTTACAGATACACGTCAATAGGAAGGAGAGCGTGTCACAGGTAATATTACAAATACACGTCAACAGGAAGGAGTTAGTGTGTCACAGGTAATATTACAAATACAAGTCAACAGGAAGGAGAGCGTGTGTCACAGATAATGTTACAGATACACGTCAACATGAAGGAGAGTGTGTGTCACATGTAATGTTACAGATACACGTCAACATGAAGGAGAGTGTGTGTCACAGGTAATGTTACAGATACACGTAAACATGAAGGAGAGAGTGTGTCACAGGTAATGTTACAAATACACGTCAACAGGAAGGAGGGTGTGTGTCACAGGTAATATTACAAATACACGTAAACATGAAGGAGAGTGTGTATCACAGGTAATGTTACAGAAACACGTCAACAGGAAGGAGAGTATGTGTCACAGGTAATGTTACAGATACACGTAAACATGAAGGAGAGAGTGTGTCCCAGGTAATGTTACAAATACAGGTCAACAGGAAGGAGAGTGTGTTTCACAGGTAATGTTACAAATACAGATCAATAGGAAGGAGAGCGTGTCACAGGTAATATTACAAATACACGTCAACATGAAGGAGTAAGTGTGTCACAGGTAATATTACAAATACACGTCAGCAGGAAGGAGAGGGTGTGTCACAGGTAATGTTACAAATACAGGTCAACTTGAAGGAGAGTGTGTTTCACAGGTAATATTACAAATACAGGTCAACAGGAAGGAGAGAGTGTATGACAGGTAATGTAACAAATACACGTCAACAGGAAGGAGAGTGTGTATCACAGGTAATGTTACAGAAACACGTCAACAGGAAGGAGAGTATGTGTCACAGGTAATGTTACAGATACACGTAAACATGAAGGAGAGAGTGTGTCACAGGTAATGTTACAAATACACGTCAACAGGAAGGAGAGTATGTGTCACAGGTAATACTACAAATACAGGTCAACAGGAAGGAGAGTGTGTTTCACAGGTAATGTTACAAATACAGGTCAACAGGAAGGAGAGTGTGTTTCACAGGTAATGTTACAAATACAGATCAATAGGAAGGAGAGCGTGTCACAGGTAATATTACAAATACACGTCAACATGAAGGAGTTAGTGAGTCACAGGTAATGGTACAAATACACGTCAACAGGAAGGAGAGTATGTGTCACAGGTAATACTACAAATACAGGTCAACAGGAAGGAGAGTGTGTTTCACAGGTAATGTTACAAATACAGGTCAACAGGAAGGAGAGTGTGTTTCACAGGTAATGTTACAAATACAGATCAATAGGAAGGAGAGCGTGTCACAGGTAATATTACAAATACACGTCAACATGAAGGAGTTAGTGAGTCACAGGTAATGGTACAATACACGTCAGCAGGAAGGAGAGTGTGTGTCACAGGTAATGTTACAAATAAACGTCAACAGGAAGGAGAGTGTGTATGACTGGTAATATTACAAACACACGTCAACAGGAAGGACAGAGTGTATCACAGGTAATATCAAATACACGTCACCAGGAAGGAGTGTGTGTGTCACGGTTAATATTACAATTTACAAACACACTTCTTACCCTATTGCATAGTGAAAGAGTTACCCCTAATGGATAGTGTAAGCGTTACCCCTGGTGTATTGCGTAAGCGTTACACATGTTATATAGTGTCAGTGTTACTCCTAATGTATAGTGTAAGCGTCACCCTATTGAATAATATCAGTGTTACCCCTATTGTATAGTGTAAGTGTTACCCCTATTGTATAGTGTAAGCGTAACCCCTATTGTATAGTGTAAGTGTTACCCCTGTTGTATAGTGTACGTTTGACCCCTATTGTATAGTGTAGGTTTTACCCCTATTGTATAGTGTAAGCGTTACCCCTGTTGTATAGTGAAGGTTTTACCGCTATTGTATAGTGTAAGTTTTCCCCCTGTTGTATAGTGTAGGTTTTACCCCTATTGTATAGTGTAAGTGTTACCCCTATTGTATAGTGTAGGTTTTACCCCTATTGTATAGTGTAGGTTTTACCCCTATTGTATAGTGTAAGCGTTACCCCTATTGTATAGAGTAGTTGTTACCCCTCTTTCATAGTGTAGGTTTTAACCCTATTGTATAGTGTAAGTGTTACCCCTATTGTATAGTGTAGGTTTTACCCCTATTGTATAGTGTAGGTTTTACCCCTATTGTATAGAGTAGTTGTTACCCCTATTTCAAAGCGTAAGTGTTACCCCTATTGTATAGTGTAGGTTTTATCCCTATTGTATAGTGTAAGCGTTACCCCTGTTGTATAGTGTAGGTTTTACCCCTATTGTATAGTGTAAGTGTTACCCCCATTGTATAGTGTAGGTTTTACCCCTATTGTATAGTGTAAGCGTTACCCCTGTTGCATAGTGTAGGTTTTACCCCTATTGTATAGTGTAGGTTTTACCCCTATTGTATAGTGTCAATGTCACCCCTATTACACAGTGTCAGTGTTACCCCTATTGCATAGTGTAAGAGTTACCCCATTGTATAGGGTAATTGTTACCATTACTGTATAGTGTAATTCTTACCCCTATTGTATAGTGTAATTCTTACCCCTATTGTATAGTGTAATTGTTCCCATATTTTATAGTGTAAGTGTTACCCCTATTGTATAGTGTCAGTGTTACCCCTTTTTTATAGTGTTAGTGTTACCCCTATTGTATATTATAAGTGTTACCACTATTGTATAGTGTAAGTGTTACGCCTATTGTATGGTGTAAGTGGTATAGTGTAAGTGTAACCCCTATTGTATAGTGTACGTGTTACCCCTATTGTTTAGTGTAAACGTTGCCTCTATGGTATAATGTAAGTGTTACCCCTATCGTATAGTGGAAGTGTTTCCCCTATTGTATAGTGTAGGTTTTACCCCTATTGTATAGTGTACGTGTTACCCCTATTGTATAGTGTACGTGTTACCCCTATTGTATAGTGTACGTGTTACCCCTATTGTATAGTGTAAGTGTTACCCCTGTTGTATAGTGTACGTTTGACCCCTATTGTATAGTGTAGGTTTTACCCCTATTGTATAGTGTAAGCGTTACCCCTGTTGCATAGTGTAGGTTTTACCCCTATTGTATAGTGTAAGTGTTACCCCTGTTGCATAGTGTACGTTTGACCCCTATTGTATAGTGTCAAGGTTTGACCCCTATTGCATAGTGTAGGTTTTACCCCTGTTGCATAGTGTAAGTGTTACCCTTATTTTATAGTGTAGGTTTTACCCCTCTTTCATAGTGTAGGTTTTACCCCTATTGTATAGTGTAAGTGTTACCCTTATTTTATAGTGTAGGTTTTACCCCTGTTGCATAGTGTAGGTTTTACCCCTATTGTATAGTGTAAGTGTTACCCCTGTTGTATAGTGTACGTTTGACCCCTATTGTATAGTGTAGGTTTTACCCTTATTGTATAGTGTAAGTGTTACCCCTGTTGTATAGTGTACGTTTGACCCCTATTGTATAGTGTAGGTTCTACCCCTATTGTATAGTGTAAGTGTTACCCCTGTTGTATAGTGTACGTTTGACCCCTATTGTATAGTGTAGGTTTTACCCCTATTGTATAGTGTAAGCGTTACCCCTGTTGCATAGTGTAGGTTTTACCCCTATTGCATAGTGTAAGTGTTACCCCTGTTGTATAGTGTACGTTTGACCCCTGTTGTATAGTGTACGTTTGACCCCTATTGTATAGTGTAGGTTTTACCCTTATTGTATAGTGTACGTTTGACCCCTATTGTATAGTGTAGGTTTTACCCCTATCGTATAGTGTAAGCGTTACCCCTGTTGCATAGTGTAGGTTTTACCCCTATTGTATAGTGTAAGTGTTACCCCTATTGTATAGTGTAGGTTTTACCCCTATTGTATAGTGTCAATGTTACCCCTATTGCATAGTGTAAGAGTTACCCCATTGTATAGGGTAATTGTTACCATTACTGTATAGTGTAATTATTACCCCTATTGTATAGTGTAATTGTTCCCCTATTTTATAGTGTAAGTGTTACCCCTTTGGTTCAGTGTCAGTGTTACCTTATGACATAGTGTAAGTGGTACCCATGGAAGTGTTACCCCTATTGTAAAATGTAATTGTTACCCCTATTGTATAGTGTAAGTGTTACCCCTATTGAATAGTGTAAGCGTTACCCCTATTGAATAGTGTAAGCGTTACCCCTATTGAATAGTGTAAGCGTTACCCCTATTGTATAGTGTAGGTATTACCCCTATTGTATAATGTAAGTGTTACCCCTATTGTATAGTGTAAGCGTTACCCCTATTGTATAGTGTAATTTTTACCCCTATTGTATAGTGTAAGTGTTACCTCTCATACGTACTGTAAGTGTTACCCATAATGTATAGTGTAAGCGTTACCCCTATTGTATAGTGCAAGTGTTACCCCTATTGTATAGTGTAATTTTTACCCCTATTGCATAGTGTAAGTTTTACCCCTATTGCATTGTGTAAGTGTTACCTCTCATACGTACTGTAAGTGTTACCCATAATGTAAAGTGTAAGCGTTACCCCTGTTGTATCGGAAGGAGTTCTTCTGTATTCTGGAAGAGACCCCAATCCCCCTTCTTTTCCGTTAGTGAACCTAATACTTCACAGATGAAGTTAAGTGTTGAGTGTATTAAAAGTAGATGTTTCTTCCACAGACTGCACCAAATGGGGATACGACGCCGTCCGCTATTTTGATCGTTCCATTGGTGGTTACAACGATGATCACGTTTCTGGCGTCACCGAGGCTGCTTGCCGTCAGCTATGTCTCAACAGCAGCACCTTTACCTGCACTTCGTGCGACTACAAGGACAACCAGTGTTTCCTGTCCAGCGCTACATTTCTGTCCGTCCCAGAAAGCAGCCGAGATCTTGGCACATCCTATGCGCACTACCAACGCACCTGCTTGTAAATCTCGCAACCTAAGTGTTATTCAAGAAGGAATTATCCACCACTGTGAACAAAAGTTACATCCTGTATGTGGCATCACTAACAATATGCAACAGACCCCCATGTATGAAAACCAAAATCACTAGATGTGGTAACCTTGTAACCAGACACCCGGTGCGCAAAATGTAAAAGTCTTTACGTGTCAACCCTGGACTTCTGTGACCAATTTTCCAGTGTTTAAGTGAAACATTCTTTACGTGTCAACCCTGGACTTCTGTAACCAACCTCCCAGTGTATAAAGTGAAAAATCTTTACGTGTCAACCCTGGACTTCTGTGACCAACCTCACAGTGTATAAAGTGAAAAATCTTCACATGTCAACCCTGGACTTCTGTGACCAACCTCACAGTGTTTAAGTGAAACATTCTTTACATGTCAACCCTGGACTTCTGTGACCAATCTCCAAGTGTATAAAGTGAACAAATCTTTAAGCGTCAACCCTGGACTTTTGTAACCAATCTCCCCATGTTTAAATGAAACATTCTTTACGTGTCAACCCTGGACTTCTGTAACCAATCTCCCAGTGTATAAAGTGAAAAATCTTTACATGTCAACCCTTGACTTCTGTAACCAATCTCCCAGTGTATAAAGAGAAAAATCTTTATGTGTCAACCCTGGACTTTTGTAACCAATCTCACAGTGTATAAAGTGAAAAATCTTTACATGTCAACCCTGGACTTCTGTGACCAATCTCCAAGTGTATAAAGTGAACGAATCTTTAAGCGTCAACCCTGGACTTTTTTAACCAATCTCCCGGTGTTTAAGTGAAACATTCTTTACGTGTCTACCCTGGACTTCTGTAACCAATCTCCCAGTGTATAAAGTGAAAACATCTTTAAGCGTCAACCCTGGACTTTTGTAACCAATCTCCAAGTGTTTAAGTGAACAAATCTTTATGTGTCAACCCTGGACTTCTGTAACCAATCTCCCAGTGTATAAAGTGACAAAATTCTTTAAGCGTCAACCCTGGACATCTGATTTGTCCGATGATAATTTTAAGGGGGGTCACGCATTTTGTTCTGGGGAAGTAGGGGGGAGGGGGTCAGGAATTTTGAACATAAAAGCATTGAATAAATATGCTTAAAGTTATAGGAAGGGGAGGGGGTGTCATTGATTTTGTACACATCATGCAGGGGGTCACTTACTTTATACATGAAGTTTAAGGGGGGGGGGTAATTCAAATTGTACACTCTTCTCCATAAAAAAATCATCATCATCCCCTAGCCATTAATTATGAACGGTCCCTAAGACCGGTGTCCCCCCATTACGCAGACAGCCAGTTCGCAGACACCTTAAAACAACAACATTTACGGTCCAGTGAACAGATTATCTACTACCTGTTACCTACACATTATAATGGAATAGTCCAAATAAAAACACAGGAACAAACTGAAGCTATATTATTATTTTGAAAGATGGACGAAAAGACAGTAGTTTGAATTTTTATTGCTGCGATATAAAAACAGTATATTTTCATAAACATTTAGGTTTAATCATCATATTGAAAACATTAGCTTAGCTATTAGAAAGTGCGACACTGTTGTATCAAATGAATCAAATAAATACAAATGTGAACCTAAATCTTATTCATATGGAATAAAGAAGTTATGTTTTGCACACAATATTAAGATATATGACGAGTGCACTTAATTACGATATATTTAGAATAAATATTTAAAATATGACGCATCATGTGAATGTGGCCATGGATGTGAGAATGTTTTTCATTACTTCCTTGAATGCACATTGTATACTACTCAAAGACATAAACTGTTACAATCTTTAGAAAGTATTGTTGAAATTAGAACACTGATTTGTATTTATCGTATCTTACATGGCAATGCAGGTGTCTCATTTACTGCAAATCAGAATGTTTTCAAATATGTACATATCTATATCTCTCCAACAAAACGTTTTCTCAGTTAACTTCTGTTGTACATATGCTATTATTGGGAGGGGTCTTTTCTATCAATAAACACAATCAAAACTCTGTGACAAACCTGTTTTTATATTCGATAGTAATTGATAGTAAAATTATCATTTAATGACAACAAAATTCTATTTACCCACAAACAAACTTCTCAGTAACGAACCTGTTTCAGGCTCACCCTGCTCTGCTCACTAGAAAGTGAACTGTTCCATTATACCCGTAGGTGTTACCCTAATGAACCTTCTAGTTCAGTGTCTGTCAATTGGGTGTCTGTCAAATGGGTGTCTGTCAAATGGGAGATAACCCTAAGACCACATCAAATTTCCTGTCACGTGACCGGACATGATAAAGTGGCACCAACACCTACACACTAACCCTACGTCTGAAGAGCAGATTACGGAAAAACATGCGTAGAATTTACTGAAGTTGTATGAACTTAAAATGGCAATATTTAGTTAAACATTAGAACGCCCGGCCCTCCTTCAGGCTTTCAAAACAATATATTGAATGCATGTGTTTTCAGTAGCTCGAACATAGACATTTCAGCTCATCATTCTAACTATGAAAGGTAAATATACATGTTAGCACTCATTATTCTGACACTTGGTTTAAAAGATCCTCGCAAACAGTGTTATATTTGTGATGAAGTCCTACACTTAAATAAACTTATGTTCTAATTCGTAAACTCAACCGAACATAAAACATTTACAAATAATCGCACAACTCTGTATTTGGGTTCACGTCAGCCTGACGGGGCGGCAAGTTTAATGAAATATATTGAATACGAAGTTTACATCCACGGCTGGAACCGATCTGAATGGCTCCTCAGTGCTGTGTTATCTGGTAACCATATCTGCCCATGTGCTCCAGTAGAGTTTTCCGTTTGGAATTCCCGGAAGCCTGAAAAACTTAGAAAACTTATTTAATACATTGTAACATATTCGGTATTGATAAATTATTATACTGTCTTACATATTGAATCACAAATCAACTTCAACTGATTTTTCACCTTCATGAATCTTAAGATGGGTCCAGTGACCTAGCAAATGGGGAAGTCCAGTGACCTAGTACACGCGGTCCAGTGACCTATTACATTTGTACATGAGGTCCAGTGACCTATTACATCCGAGGTCCAGTGACCTATTACATCCGAGGTCCAGTGACCTATTACATCCGAGGTCCAGTGACCTATTACATCCGAGGTCCAGTGACCTATTACATCCGAGGTCCAGTGACCTATTACATCCGAGGTCCAGTGACCAAAATTTAACCTGAAAACGGTTTTGCTGTTTACGAACCACTGATATAAGTTTAACCTGATCCATATTTATCTTGGACCCTTTTATAGCACACCCATCACGTGACTTGTTGCACGGACTCAAGTTCATCTGTACTGAATACTCTCGAACCCAAATACACAACCACGTATTAGTAAATATATTTATGTTCCAATTCGTAAACTCAACCGAACATAAAACATTTACAAATAATCGCACAACTCTGTATTTGGGTACGTTCACGTCAGCCTCAAGAACTAAGAGAGCGGGCAAATAAAAGGATAATACAAATCTGCTTAATCAATCATTTATTACTGGCAACAGATCACAACATCAAAATTCCCAATTTTTTCGACACACTGAGTCTTGCTAATAGGCTATCCTTCACATAATCTTTTGCAGTCTCTGACCGCCACCGACCGTGACGCTTGAATAGCCTATCCGGCACTCCAGCATTGGCCGCCTCGGTCGCCCCTCCCGACCTGAGGCTGTGCACCCCAAAATCCTGTCTCTTTAGACCAACAGTCTCCAACATACTCAGAATGATCTCTCGCATACGTGTATAAGAGACTGGCTTGCTGCCTCTTAACTTATCAGTGTTTGACTTTCTGCAATAGTTCACTGGTTTAAAGATATAGTCATCACTGTAACTTTCAAATGCTTGTTCTAGGTAGGACTTCATAATACTAAGTGGACAATTCTGATTGGGTTGCAGCAACAACCAAGTGATGGCCATCTCGATATTTATCAGTTTTGCTTTTCTCTATAAAAATAACCATGTGACCTTCCCGAAAGATTATGTCAGAATATCTTAAATTTGCTGCTTCCGAAAACCTAAGGAAGCCAGCAAAAGAAACTATACAAAATGTTAAATTTCTCAGGTTGTATAAGCTGTCAACAGGAAACTTATCTTTTAACTTTCGTAGAATATCTGCTGTTAATGGCTCTTTCCGCCTGATGTGTACACCGAGAGTTCTCCGCGAAGATTCAAGCACAGACTTGACGAAATGTGACTGACACGGATTCCGTAGGCCTGCTAAATTATGTGCCCAACCTATGGCGTAAATCGACTGCTGAATTGATGCAGGACTCTTACTGTTCTGCTCAAGATATAACACGTACAATGCTATATGAAATACAGAAGCCGGTATATGACTGATGGCAAATTGTTTACACCAATCCTTAAACTTCACAAATCGACCTTCATTCTGTTTCACAGTAGTCTTAGCTCTAGATTCCAACATTAATTCTGGTAACCTTTCCGCTAAACTAATCATAGTTGGATCTTTAAGCACCTCCTTCTCCTTCCAAACACCGAGTGAAAACACATCTGAAAGAAATCAGAAAAATCTGATAGCTAAAACTGATCGAGAAATTCTTATCAAATATGGTTTCGCTGCACCTTTGGCAAAAATGATTCTATCTTTGATTTCCCAGACCCCTGATATACCTGGTTTACTCCCGCCGTCACGGTTGAATAATCTTGGCCAAAATAAAGCAGACTTCCACAACGGTACCACAATAGTAGCTCTGCAGCTATTGTACAAAACAAAATCAATGGTTTTACATATCAGATTGAAAGCGGGGACAACCCAATTATTGTCACGTGACTAATCTTGAGTGAAACAATCCACTGCTTCTGTCCCTGGAACCATCAATCTTGAGTTAAACCATTTCAGTTTCTTATTCATATGATCAGCAAACCTGTCTATAGTGAACGGTCCCCAGTGTTCATTTATCTCGGCAAACACTTCATCTACTTCCGTCCAATCGTCTTGATCACCTGTCCTACTTAAACTGTCCGCCGCCGTATTACTCTCCCTGGGAATCCACTGGAATTCAACTTTAATACTGTTACTTCTAGTGAACATGAAGATGTTAGCTGCCAACTTTTGTAATTCTGATACGGTACTACCATGTTGACAGGCTGCTTGATTATCTGAAAAGAGCCTGACTGACCTTCCCTTAACTGTGTCAACAAAACTACTCAGAGCCAACTCTATCGCTCTCAGTTCCCGCCATGCCGAACTCCTTTGGATTTCATGGTCATCCCAGGCTATGATGAACCTATTGTTTGTGTGGGGATACAAGCCCCACATCCCAGGCTATGAAGAACCTATTGTTTGTGTGGGGATACAAGCCCCACATCCCAGGCTATGAAGAACCTATTGTTTGTGTGGGGGATACAAGCCCCACATCCCAGGCTATGAAGAACCTATTGTTTGTGTGGGGGATAAAAGACCCACATCCCAGGCTATGAAGAACCTATTTAACCAAACCTGAAGAGGTTTTAAATTCTTCGAAGAGAGTCGTCCTTGGGGTACATATTATGCATTTTCCAAGCTGAAAATGTCCTGTGACAGTTGTATCAATGTTTTTTGAATAAAAAGATTGTACAATAAATAAACTCTTTTATTTATTATACGGCCCCCACCTCACGGAGTTACCTCCCGTTGCGCATGCGCACCAACTGGGTAAGCACCTAGGCCCGTATCATCATTCCTTCTGCTGAATACATCAGTGAACAGAATTGCGGGGAGGCGGGAGGCCCTACCCCAAGGACGACTCTCTTCGAAGAATTTAAAACCTCTTCAGGTTTGGTTAATTCTTCTTCATAGAGATCGTCCTTGGGGTACATATTATGCATAAACACAGACTCCCAAAGACCGGAGGCCAGGGAGGAGGGAATTCTGTCCAAGCACACACAAATAGCTATCGTTAATGGGAAAAAATTTAACAGACGCCATAACACTCACCTGTCACATGTCCCAGTTTCGCTTCCGCGAGAGGCATTATGGGAGGGGAACTGACAGGGAGGATTTGTGCTCAAAGACGACCTCCATATGTTAGCATAGGCAATCGCACATGGTACGAATGTCAACAAAGCCCCACCCACCACGTGTCGATTAGTGAGCACCGTAGGGGGGAATGTCAAAACCGCTCACAATCGACCTATTACTCCGTAGAGAGACGAAATGTGGGTAGTTAGCTCCCAGTAGCAGACATGTCAATAACACACAGTATTGTACAGTAGCGTCAAACAAAACCAATGAACCAAGACTGTCCACTGGAGAGAACAGAACGGCCAAAGCTCGCACGATTACGGGAATGCGTATCGAGCTGATAATGCCGAATTAACATGCTAGGCCGGCTCCAAATAGCGACAGAGCAGATCTCTTCAATGGGGAGTGCCGATGCAAAAGCTTTTGATGCGGCTACTGCCCTGACCGAGTGAGCCTTCAACCCCTCAGGGGGAGGCTTGCCCTTAGCCTGATACGCAGCACAAATACACGAAACTAGCCAGCGAGACAAAGTCTGCTTGCTCGCCGGCACACCAGCCTTTCCGCCACCGTAACAACAGAACAGCTGGGTACCCGTACGGATTCCCCGAGTTCGTTTGATATAGACTTTGAGGGTCTTACGGACATCCAACGGGTGAGTGCTCGTTGCAGAGGTCCCCGATGTGGAAGGCTGGGTAAGAGTGGGAAGTTCGATAGGAGCTGTCACATGGAAAGCGTGATCGACCTTCGGGCGATGCGATGTATCCGGGAGGCAATACTGACCACGATCAGTGTGAAACACAGTCAGCACCGGGTCGGACGACATAGCATGTAAATCGCCGACCCTACGCCCAGACGTTACCGCCACCAGAAAAACAGCCTTCCAAGTTAACAACTGAATGGAAATAGCCGATAGGTGTGAGAAAGTTGGACCCGGACAGCCAATAATCGAGCACAATTGACAAATCCCAAGGTGGGCTGGTTAAGCCTGACAGCAGGTCGAACCCGTTCCGCGCCAGCGAGAAAGCGATGTACGAGAGGGTGCTGCCCCAGAAGAGCACCATCGACAGGGGTGTGAAAAGTGGAAATAGCGGTGGAGTAGCCGCGAATGGTCGATGCCGCCAGGCCTTCTTCCAAACGGGCTTGCAAAAACTCCAAAACTCGGACTAAATCCGCAGAAAAGGGATCTGCAATCCCCCTATCTGAACACCAGCGCGCATAGCGGGACCACCTATCCTCATACTGAACGTTTGTCGAATCCCGCCTCGAAGCCAGAATTGTGTCTGCAACTGCTGCAGGAATTCCGCGTGCCTCGAGGCTAGACCTGACAGAGGCCAAGCCACCCACTGAATCCGTGGATTTGGGTGGGGCGCTCCGTTCTGAGTGAGAATGTCCGGTCGTAAAGGTAATAGAACAGGAGGCTGAGCCAGAAACCTGAGAATTACCGGAAACCAGCTCTGTGACGGCCAAAGCGGTGCCAGTAGCACAAGCAGCCGAGCTGGCTGGGTGGACAGCTGTGAAAGGACACGGGGAATGAGTGGTAACGGCAGGGAACGCAGAGCACTTTGCCGTCAATCCAGCAGGAAAGCGCGGCAGCCAACGCCCCTGGGTCCGGTATTCGAGAGCAGAACACGGGTGTCTGATTCGTCCCGCCGGACGCAAACAGATCCACCTGGAACGACCCGTACAACTGGGAGATAACTCTGAAAATCTGCCTGTCGAGCATCCACTCGTGCGGGGCCAGGATCCGGCGAGAGAGAGCGTCTGCTCGCACGTTCTCCAGCCCCGGGAGATAAACAGGGAGTACCTGACAATCGCACTGGTCGCACCAGAGGAGAAAGTTCCACACCTCCCGGAGGAGCGCTGGGGACACCGTGCCGCCTTGCTTCAGGATGTACGACATGGCCGTCTGGTTGTCCAACTGAAGACAGACTACCTGGCCCTGGACATGCTTTCTGAAGCGCTTGAAAACCAACCGCACAGCTCTCAGCTCCAACACGTTGATGTGAAGGTGGGCTTCGGCTTCGGACCAGAGTCCGGACACCGACAGACTGCCCAGAACACCCCCCCAGCCCGTGAGGGACGCATTGGTCTGAACTGTGAGAGCTGGCGTCGGGATTTCCAAGGGGACCCCTCTTGTGAGATTCCCGACATTGGTCCACCACTGAAGGTGAGGTGTCAACCACCCTGGGACTGTGAGACTCCGCTCCAGGTCCTCCGAGTGAGCCCACAGACTCGCCAAAGCTTGCTGTATAGGGCGCATCCTCAACCGCGCCTGCCACACTACAGAGATCGTCGCCGCCATATGGCCCAGTAGACGGAGCCAAGTCTGTGCTGGTGCCTGGGGCTGGGAGAGGAACGAAGACACCATCTCCCGAACTCTGGTGATCCGGTCGGGCGACAAGGAAACTAGATCCTTGTGCGTTTGGAACCTCGCCCCGAGAAAAACCAAGTCCTTGGTGGGTACCAGGTCGGATTTCTTGAGGTTGATTATCCACCCCAGTCGAACTAGAATGTCTATCACTGTGTGAGTAGCATCTAGGCTCGCTGGCTGTGTTAGTGCTCCGAGCAACCAGTCGTCGAGGTAAGGGTAACAACGCCTTCCTTGCGAGCGAGCGAGGGTAGCCGGGACTAACATGAGCTTGGTGGCAGTCGATATGCCAAAGGGGAGCACCTTGAATTGGTAACACATCCCGTCGTAAGAGAACCGAAGGTACTGCTTGAACGATGGATGTATGGGCACATGCAGATACGCATCCTTTAGGTCGATTGACGAGAGCCAATCGCCGGGCTGAACAGATGAGATCACCGAGCGCAGTGTCTCCATCTTGAAGGATGGTACTTCGAGCATGCGGTTCAACCCCTTGAGGTTGAGAATGGGACGGAACCCGCCCTCTTTCTTCGGGATGAGGAAGTACGTGGAGTAAAATCCCGCCTGTTCCTCTCCCGGTGGAATGCGCTCGATTGCGGACTTGTCCAGCAGAGCCTGAACTTCGTTGCGCAATATGTCCGCCCTTGCCTGACATGACGGCACCAGAGTGCGGCGTATGCCGGTGAAGTCGGGCGGACCTCGCTTCCACAGTGGTAAATGGCCTACACTGATGGTGGACAGCACCCAAGTGTTTTGTGTAGCCTTCTCCCATTCCGGCAGGAATAGAGAGAGGCGGCCTCCCACTGGGACGTCGGGTAAGAGCGCGTGCGTCGTCCCGAGTAGCGGAGCTGACTGGGCGTGACACACGGCTTGAACGACAGCCTGATGGGTTAACGGGAGGTCGGGGCAGACCTCCCGCACCCGTGAAAAGGCTGGGAGCTAGTCGAGGACTGCACCTTGCCCATACCCTTGGCGGACCTGTGCCTCCGCTTACCCCTGCCAAGCGGCCGAAGCCAGCCAGCGGACTCGGGTGTAGGCTGCACCCAGCGGAGGAAGGTGGAACGGGAGCGGGAGCGCGGGGGCGAGACACCCGCGGGTGCTCCAACAAGGCCTTAGAGTCCTTGAAGGAGGTAGCTGCAGCGGCAGCCTCCCGTATGACCTGTGCCCCTGGAAAGAGGG